ATATAGCAACATTTATATGTACATATGTATATATATACATACACATAGTAAATGTTATTTCAACTTTGATTAACTAATAAATTATCAAAATATAATACTCTCTTTAGCAACTTTGTTGCGAGAGCATAAAAAATTATTTAAAAATATTAACGGGATTTTTTAGCAACTTCAAACTTGAACTTAATTGTAGCAAAATTTAACTGCATTTCCATATTTTTTATACAGATTCGGGTTAAAAATTTTAATTTTTAGTGAAAATTTCTATCCCTTTTGTATAAGGTTTGAAATGTGGATTTATATGTTTCTAAGGAAAATAGTTTAAATATCAAGGTGCTATTATTTTGACAAGCATTTTTTCATTTACAATAAGTTTTTGTACACTCATATGAAAAACACGCATAATGAAGAAAATGTGATTTATGTTTCAGGTTATAATTGGATTGAAAAATATTTATATATATTTTTTTTATTATTTTAATGTTGCGTAAATAAAAATATGTACATACATATGTATATCATTTGAAAAATTGTCCTGCATTTTCGATTCATATTTATGGTCACCGTAGTCATGGTATGTCCTTGTTTTTATTCTTACTTTAATAGTACTTATAAATTATTTATTTCAATTTTCTAGTTATACTTATAGTACATTTGCTTGGAACTTACAGTGCTTCTGCATTAACTAAAACTTACCTCATGGATCGGATATGGATATTATTCGAAACTCTTTTCTTTGTTTATAAAGATAGCCCATGATCTCGTGGTTTTGTTTGGCAGAAATGAAAGTCGCAGAAATCAATTGTAGAAAGTGCGTTCCAAAGTAAACATGACTTTTGTAATCTACCGCTCCCTGGTGGAGCCATCTATATGTCGACTGGTGCATTAGAATCTGCTATCTTTATCGATTTTCCAGTGAATTTCATGGCATTTCATTGATTGGAAGTTATTGCGTTTTAAGTATCAGTATGTTTGTGTTATCGGTGCGAAAATGAGTTTCGAACAAAGAGCCAACATTATCTCGTAGCAGAGTGCACGAGTGGTTTCAGCGTTCTCAAAGTGGTCGTGAGAACATAAATGACTATCAACATGTGGATCAATCAAGCTACGTGATCACCGGAAATTCCATCGAAACTGTTCGTAATTTCATCAAAAATCAGCCAAAATCCTAATTGAAATTCATGGAAATGAAATTGAACATCTCCAAAATATCGATTTATCGCATTTTGACCGAACATTTGGGCTTACGAAAGGTGTGTGCACGGTTTGTTCCGCACAAATTGACTGACGACCAAAAATTACTCAGAATCCAATATTCGAAAGACGATTATTTGACCACGAATCACATTTTAACCATTAACCACTCCCCGCATTCACCTGATATGGCACCGTGCGACTTATTCCTTTTCGGAAAAATGCATTTGCCCATGAAAGGAAAGCGTTATGCAGACATAGAGGCCATTCAAAAGGCTTGCACCGGCATATTGGCGGCCATACCGGCCAACGAGCTAAAACACTCTTCCGACATGCTTTTGGACCGTACAAAAACTGTTTTGAAGCAGAAGAAGACTATTTTGAATAAAATAAACTGATTTTGTCGAAAAATCCATTTGTACTGGTTTTTTTTAAGTCCTGTCTAAAGTTGATACGCACATTTTGTACAAAGTGGGTTGATTGTGAAATGAKATTTTTTTTCTTTAAAGATGTGTAATATATATGTATATAATTTTGCTTAGGAAAGAGCAGGCACTTATCAAATAGAATTGGTTTGCTTATCAGTTCCATATAGCAACATTTATATGTACATATGTATATATATACATACACATAGTAAATGTTATTTCAACTTTGATTAACTAATAAATTATCAAAATTATTTAAAAAAAAGTAGGTTTCGTGTTTTGACTGTTAAAAATATGTAATTGTTTTGAAATATTAAAATAATGAGGTTTAAGAGTTAAAATCCTTTGTAAAAAAAATCATATATGTACTTACAAATTATTCTTGGCAACCCTTCTCGTGCTCAGCTGTGAATTTTGGTGCTCTGTCGAATTTGTTAAATTTATATTCAAAACTCTATTGTGAAAATATTTGGATTAACTGCTCTTTTAATTGTTAGTGTTAATTTATATTGCTTACTTAAATTTCTTTCTTGTTTTTATTCGTTTCCATCTTTGTTCACAGCTGTTCGCGAGTTTAATACTTTTCGCGTGTTACAGTGCATCTCAAACTGCTCGCTACATTGGTTGTTATCTATGATAACTAACTATTTTTATTGCGTTCATTTGTTATAAATATTTTTTTATTGCTCTTCTTACTTTTATTATTTAAAATTTTTATATTTTAGTTTAATATTGTTTTTGTTCATTATCACTTGTAACTTTCCGAACTGCTCTGTGAAAGGCGAGTCGGAAAGCTTCTTTTCTTAAATGTGCTGGACTGACGGGTAAGATCTTGGATTCTATTCTTGACAGTAAGGGATTGCGCTGGTCTTGCTTAAAATGTAGACCAACTGAAATTGAATTGTTTAAGGGTTTTAAGCAATTGCTCGATGGTTTCAAGGAGATTAGTCGTGAGCTTGAAACCCTTACTGAAAAAATTAATTGTTATGAAACGCTGTTCGGTCGACAATTTGCTGAACTTAATGAATTATGTTATAATAATTATATAAATAAAGTAAAAAATAATATTATACGTAATACAAAATTGTTCTGCGGTTTCGTCAACTCCAAACGCAAGATTTCTAATTTTCTGTCCGCTATGAAATATAAGCCGAGTATGTCTAGTGATAGTCACACCATTTCTAAAATATTCGCTGAGTTCTTCAAATCCAATTACTCTAGAAAATCTCCAAAAAATGTTCCGCATCAGCACAAGTTATGTCCGATTTCTGTCGGATTACCACCTACTATTTCCGAAGCAGACGTCTTATATCAGTTAAATATGTTAGAACAATCATACAATTATGTCCCAACTATGATTTCCTCATGCTTTCTTAAGAAATGTGCCAAATATATATACCAACCCCTAACAAAACTATTTAATTCATCTCTTATGCAAGGCTTATTTCCATCCATATGGAAAAAGTAATTTATAATTCATTCATTTTACATAAGAGTGGATTTAAGTCATCTATTGAAAAATGAGGGGGAATAGCAAAGTTGTCTGCAATACCTAAACTTTTTGAAGCAATTATAACAGACGACATAACGTTCCGGATCTCTCCACTAATTTCTTGTTTTCAGCACGGTTTTCGTAAAGGGAAATCTACAATAACTAATTTGCTAATATATCAACGGGCCCTAGGGAGAATAAGAACACTTATGTTATATACTCAGATTTTAGTAAAGCTTTCGATAAAGTATCCCATTCAATTCTTTTGAATAAACTTGATCTTCTTGGTTTTCAACCAATATTTCTAAAATGGGTTGCTTCTTATCTTAGTAATAGAATTCAACAGCCATATTTAACGATAATCTTTCCGACATAATCAATGTTCCTTCAGGCGTTCCTCAAGGCAGCC